TAAATTAGTGTCGGAAAAGCCGACGCTATATTTAAAGAATAGCGTCCACTTTTTCGACGCTAAACTTAAAATATTTAATTTAAATTTATTTTAAGTTTAGCATCGGAAAAGCCGACGCTAAATCTTAAAAAAGCCGACACTATTTGCTTCAGCGCCGACACTTATTTTCCGCCTCTTATTCAACGTTTTCTTGTAGTGATACATCCGTCGGTAATTATCCATAGATGTATCCGTGGGTAATTTGTAACGCACGATTTATATAATAATAATTATATATTTTCTTATATAATATTTTCGCAATTATACCATTAACAATATTTTTTTTAATGAAGATAAAGATAAAGAAAAAGAATATTTTGTGAATTTATTACATGACATATCGTTTTAAAATATTTACAATAATGTACTATTTTACAGATTATTTCTTTCTTTCACTTCTATTATAATATTTACATTGATAGTGAAAAGAAAATTACAATTGAAATAATATGGTTGGCAAATAAAATTACAACAGATCCATCAAATAGCCTCTATATTCCAATTTCTTCCAAGTAGGACAGCAGTAATAACAACTGCAAAATTATTTGAAATCCCAAGTAGATCCATCTATTTTATAATATATTTAATTTTAAAAACAAAGAAAAGAGGAGTGAGAACAATATTCAATAAATACGATAATTCAAAAGAATATACAAAATTATTTATAATCAATATTAAACATATATATACATATATAAATATATATATATACAGATCATATATTAGATTTTTATGATACAATAAAATTTTAATTATATTTGTAGTGACTAGTCATGATAAATGAGCATCATCATAATACCAACCAACAAAAGGATATTTCACCTTAACCAACAAGAGGATATTTTACCTTCATTCCTTACTCATTTAAATCCCCAAGGTCAAACCTCCAGCTACAAATAATTCAAACTTTATCTTCTCCCTTACCTCGATAAGCAGGAGCTAAAACTAGAGCACAACCTTGCTAATCTCTTCCTCTGGATTCCCTCTTTCTTTTTCCCTCTTTCTTTCTCTTTCTTTCTTTCTTTCTCTCTCTTTCTCTTTCTCTCTCTAAATTTTCACCTCTGGCTGTTATGATTTTTCACAGCCCCCCTCCCTCCTATTTATAGAAATTCGGAGTGGTCAGAACAGCCCGTTCTGAAACCAGAACGGCCCGTTCCGGACCCATTCCTCCTATATAAAATTTAAAACTGGAACGACCCTTCTAGGGTAAAAATTTTCTCACAAAGACCATAACTGGAACGGCCCGTTTTCAACTAAGATCTTTAGACATTTTTTTAAGCTTGGAACGGCCCGTAACGCTTTGGGAACGGCCCGTTCTGGGCTAACAAATATAGTTTTCTTTGAAAATATGGAACGGCCGTTCTAGGCCTTCAAACATAGGCCTCTTTATTAATTTGGAACGGTCCGTTCCAATGGGCCAGCAAACACAAGTCTTTTTAGAAATTTGAAACGGCCCGTTCTGAGCCTTTAAAATACCAAAATATTATTTTATTATTTTTATTATAAAATTATTAATTATAAAATCACTTTAATAATCCCCATAAATATTTAAATACATAATAATCAATTATTAAAATATTTAAAATATTCTACATAAAAGACCTCTTTTTATTAATTAATAACTATAGGAAAATAATTTTCATAAATATAAAAATAATAATTAACCATTGTATGAAATTTGGGATGTTACATAATTACTCA